GAATAATAGGAAGGTCAACAAAATTGAAGGATGCAAAGGAAGACACTTGAAGGAGCACAAGAGTTAAATCAACAGAGGTAAATACTATTATATACAAAACCCAGAAATAAGGGCAATCAATGAGTAGAAGCAGGCTAAAAGAGTATGGGATGAAGGGTAAGGGTATACTCACAAATATATAAAGTTGACAGACAATATTTCTATATATGTATTTACCTATATGGTCACCATGAGTCAGCATTAACTCAATGACAATGAGTTTTGAAATGCTGCAAATATATCCAAAAATGTAGTAGTGCATAGAGGGGGCAGAGTTATGAAAACTTCTTAGCCATAATTAAACACCATAAAGGAATGAGTCACTAGGCCCAGGGGCTCAGCACCATGGTCGTGATGACACCAAGAACAACTAGCGTAACATAGTCCACACAGACGATGTTATATCATCCTTTGATGATCTTAGAAGTTCTTAAGGGACCACCTAAGGTGCAACTATTGGTCTCTCCACAGCCAGAGGAAAGACGAGTAAAGAAAATCAAAGACACATGGATATAATTAGACCAATGAACTAATGGACCATGTGAACATCAACATACATGACTAAGTACAGAAGAACTAGATGGTGTCTGGCTACCACTACCAACTGCTTTGAAAAGATCACATTAGAAGGTCTTGGGTTGATTGCAAGAGAGATGTAGAACAAAACTCGAAATCATAAAAAAGACCAAGTTTACTGAGTATATATACGTGGGGACTGGTGGAACCCTCAAGAGTATGGCCCTTTAGGTCCAGAATATTTAGTCAAACAGTGGACAAGTATTTAGGGGAAAAAACAACACTAAGGAGATATGCATACCTCAGAACATTGATTCTGAAATTTATTTGATCTACTTCCCCTTTTCAGAAAAAAAATCACTCAATGTCCTTTGGCAATTAAAACTTTTGTACTATAACCCATAATCCAGGATAAAGTGTAGGCATCAACTTTTTCAGCCCCCTGGATTGTTCCAGCACTTCCAGGGATGGCATCACTTATTTTGAGAACCACTGCCTTAGAATAATCAACCATTTGAGATCAAAGGGACATTTACTCAAGGACAAAATTCAGATGAAGTAGAAAAAGAAGATGAATAGAAACAGGAAATACAGGGAGGCAGTAGGTAGGATAAGTGATCAATGAGATGAAACAAAATCTGATCAGATTATTCAATGGAAAACTGATCTGCTCTGTAAACAAATACCCAAATCACAATAAAAAGTTAAAAAAAGAAATAAATAAAAATGTAATGCAAAAGGAAAATGGGCTTTCTGAGCTATTGGAAAAGTAGAGGTAGAGACACTACCCAGGATTGCCTTACTTTCCTGACCCTTGTCTTTCCTGACCTTAGATGAGGATGTAATCCAGTGGGTGTTCAGTTTAGTTGGAAAACAAGGATAGTTCTGTATATCTCAACTTATTTCTCAATAATGGTATAATAGTTCAGAGACTGTCAAACTGCGGCTCTTTAGCCATATGCAGCTCTTTCAGTATACACGAGATATTATTCAGATAATGGTGATTTCATTTGTTTATAAAAATATATTTTTGGGTCTCAAATAATTGTTAAATTGTTGTGAGGGACAAGATTGCTCT